GAAAATGAGAACGTTCCCTTAAAAGATGAGGATGATGCAATGCCTCAGATTGGTCCTGAAACTTTGCTTTGCCATGAAGTCGACTTGGATGACTTGGATGAAAAGGAGAAGAGCGGTAGTGAAGATACAGTATCAGAAAAGCCAGACCCTAACGCTTCAAATCCAAATCCCTCTGCCTTACCCGCTGTGGTCCAGTCGAGCTTTTCAGTGGCCTCGCCCCTTGCTCTCAGTCAGGACGAATCCCGCAGCATCAAGAGCGAAAGCGACGTGACTATTGAAGTCGACAGTGTGGCAGAAGAGTCGCAGGAGGGTCTCTGCGAAAGCGAGTCTGCTAATGGGTTTGAAGCCAGTACTACATCAAGCAATTGTAGTATAGCCGTGCAAGAGAGAGAGATGGGAGAGAAAGGTGAGTATCTCCTGTGAAAAGTCATTCTCTACTGTAATGCTTTCTGAAGTTGTCTGAACTCCGGAGTTACTTTGATAAAAATGGCTTGTTTCTTTTGTTTTCTGATTTTAAATTCCTTTGTTGCTTATAAAAAAAGCTGTTAGTAGCGAAAATATTTGAGGCTTCTTTCTTTTTTTTTTTTTTTTTTCTTTTCTTTCTCATGTAGGTCAAAAAAGACCCAGTGATAGCAATAGTGGAACACTGGCAAAAAAACAGAAGCGTACTCCAAAGCGAACAAGTGCTGCAGCCAAAAATGAAAAGAACGGAACAGGTACATTCCTGGAGGGGGAGAGGGGGAAGGTTACGCTGTCCTGTAAAAGTGTGTCAGGGCCCACTGTTCTCACTGTTACCGGTTATTTCTGTTGGGTGGGACTTCCTTGGCAGGGATTTTCATTATTAATCATGATGATTGGCTGTTAACTGGAGAGAACTTGACAGCTGCGTGGTTGCAGTGTCACTGGGAAAGCTCTTGGCTATTTTTAATTATGTCATTAGGGAAAAGTTTTAATAACTGTATATATTAGCAGTTACTAAACATTTACTGTTATGCTGAGTTTTGTACCTTGGGTTGGTTATGAATTTGGGGGAGGGGAGCTTGTTCTGATTAGAAACATCTCCTTTAAAGACTTACAATAGGTGTTTCTCATGGGAAAAAGTGCATTTCTGAAGTACAGAAAAAATGATGCTAAAGAACAACTTTTCAGCAAAAGGTGTCATGTGTGTTTTTATCTCAAGTATGTGATTATTTTTTTAACTTGCTATGGAAATCTGGATTTTTGTGTTTCTATAGCTCATTTTTGGCGATCGTTGTATTGAATGTGTCAGTGTATTTAGGCCCTGTGGCAGCATTGTTATAACTTTTTAAATCAAACTAAAATAATACGTGACATAACAATTCAGACATATTTAGTGTCCCTGTGTTAAACTTTGCAATTATTGTGGGAATCTAAAATATTTGCCTGTATCAGCTAGAAATTTTCTGTTACATGTTAAAGCTTTTATGCTTCTAGTCATGTTTCAGAACTTGTTCTTTTAGATGTGTAAAGCAATTTGGTAAATATTCACGATCATGTGCGACCTACCTATATTAATAGTTGGACTATTTAAGAAAGGGATTCTAGTGTCTGCTTTATATTAGAAATCCCAAGTATGTGGCTTTGTTAGAGCACTGATAAGCTATCTTTTCTTATTTTAATAAGTTTCTTTATTGCTTCTTTTAAAAAATGTGACAAGGCCTAATGTGAAGAAGCCCTTGGCTTCTCCTGCATTAAGGGTCAGTACACTTGAGCGTTCGGTGCCTGTTGTGTCTGTTAGGGTTATACACTGAATCTGAGACAGTTTTTCCTTGTGTGCATTCTGGGATCTTGTGAGCAAGAAAGAGCAGTTTTTTCTTACTCATTTATTCTGACTATATCTACAGCTTTAAAAATGTCAAGGTTGTTTTTTTTGAAGTCCAAATACATTTCTCTTACTGCAGGACAAAGTAGTGACAGTGAAGACCTTCCTGTCCTGGACAGTTCGAGTAAATGTACTCCTGTAAAACACATAAGCGCGTCCAAACCACAGAAGATCTCTCGATCACCTGCAAGAGTGATTTCACCTCACATCAAAGATGGAGAGAAGGATAAACACAGAGAGAAACACCACCACCAGAACGCTTCGCCTAGAGTATACAAATGGAGTTTTCAGCTCAGTAAGAATTCTTTTAAGTGATTTGTTTAGAGGGAATTTACAAGAAAATTTGTTCTGAAAGAAAAATGTGCAAATTTGGGGATTCTAAATTAGGTATAGGCCCTTCATGGCGTAGTTATGGCAGTGTGTTACCTTTCATGTTGTATCTTACATACTCTTCAAAATTGCATTCATTTGTTTAAAATCACCTTGCTGGAGCTACTTTTTCTTTTCTTCCCACTTTTAAGATGAACTAGACAATATGAGCAGCACTGAAAGGATCTCCTTCTTACAAGAAAAACTACAGGAAATACGAAAATACTACATGTCCTTGAAGTCAGAAGTAGCAACCATAGACAGGAGAAGAAAACGATTAAAAAAGAAAGACAGAGAAGGTAACTTTCAGATTTGCTTTACGCTTCCCATGAGAAGTTGATTTTCTTGAAAATACATAACTCGAGGTACCTGGAGTTTCATTGACAGTATTTTTGGAGGGGGGGGAGGGGAGGGGGAAGTGTTATCATCTGTTTGTAGGTATACATAGTTAGAAGGAATATTTGTGGCTTTTCAGGTCTTGGACCTAACAAAAACATTCAGTATTTTATAACTGTGTATTAGAAACTTGGACTTCCTAGTGCAAGCTCAGTCTGAGTTTTCACTCAGTGTAACGACTCATCCGATTGATCTTTTCAATTGGTCTGTGATGCAGAAAGGGGAAGGTTACGCATCCACTTTATGTGCACATAGCAGCGAAAGCAACTGACAAAAAACCTGTATCAGTTTTCTGTGACGGTGCCACTTTGAGATCTTTTAAACAACCCACTAACCGAGGCAACCTTTGTTCTGTCGTGTACTTCGATAATCTGATGCTGATATGTTGTTCTGTATATTCAGTGTCACATACAGGAGCATCCATGTCATCTGCCTCATCCGACACTGGAATGAGTCCATCATCATCTTCTCCTCCACAAAATGTGCTTGCTGTAGAATGCAGGTGATACACATTTCTCTGCCTTGCCAGCAGCTTGCTGCCATGGACAGAAATCCTGAAATTCAACCACAGAAAAGCACTCAACTGGTTTGACATTGCCAAGTATATTCTGTACACACTTCCACTGCTGGACTGTACCTGTTCTCCCCTCCCACCCTCTTCTTTTGTTTAATTTACTGTTCAGAGAAATTAAGCTCATTGGTAACTGAAGGTCTGTAGGCACAATGTGACATGCTTGTCATTGTGTTTTGTTTTTGTTTTTTTGTTAATGCAGAGAAAGGGCACTTATCAAATTTGAAGTTATGTCCAATGAAGCATTCAGGTGTTCTAGGGAGATCTTAGAAAAGCAAGTGCACCAAGCAGACATCAGAGTATTATCAAAAAGAATTAAGTAACTGCTGCACTTTCACCGAGCTGAGCGTTAACTCTCGGTGAGTAGTTCCTCTTTGTGGAAGCACTTGCTATACAGAACTGCCAAAGTATGTGTTCAGCAATGTGCCCAGTTTTAAAGGTGTAAATGGGACAAAATAAATTGTGAAAGGAAGTGTAGTTGACTGAAAACTACAGTTGTAATAAGTCTTCCACTTTTTATAGGATTTTTGAGCACACAATTATGCAAATATTTTAATGTTTATTAATGTTTACAGTGGAATTGTGAATAGGTTTTCAGTGGACTATCTTATCCCTTGACAAAAATATTTTGTCTTTTTTCTATGTAATTTCAGAGTTTTTATTTTGTTACAAAAAGACAAAAAATGAAATATATAACAACAATGAAGTTATTTAACAAGATTTCTAAAGCTGAAATTTTTGTGTAAAATAAGGTATCTTGCAACTTGTTAAATATATTTATTCAGACATTGGATGTTGTATTTTTATGTATTTTTTAAAATATTAATAAAATTGGAAAAAAAATCCTAGGTTAGTTCACTCTTTCGATAAAACACACATACCAGTTATGGCTCTTAAGGAGGTTTCATCCGGTAGCCGTGCCTGTACGACAGGTGGGTCTGTCTACGTATCCTCCGCAACCTCGATCTGTGAGCGGGCATCTGGGTTAAACTATGACTTTATTTGGAAACTTTGGCAGTCCTAGTACTTACATTGTTTTGAGGAACAAAATTTATTGGGTTGCCCTTAAGATACTTTGTCACAAGTTCTTCTGTTTGCTGTACTGCCGAATGAATTTATATCTCCCGAAGTTGAGATGCAACAATAAAGTAAAGCAACTGTGTATGCTTTGTCTGTGGATTGTCCCACAGGCAGATACAGTTTGTAAATAACTCTTCCAAATCCATGTATTTAAAACAGTTTGCATATACATTATGTATAAAAGTGATTTTTTTATCAATTTTTTTATTCATGTTTGTACATTGAAAGGGGTTCTTAACCCCTTCTTCTGTGTTTAATATGCTGTAGAGTAATAACATAGATGCTCTAGACTGTATATCAGGATATTCTGGTTCACACGGCAGAAAGTCAGAACGAAACACTAGTGATGGCGTAGCATTACTAAAATTGATGTTTCTTGAAATTTCATTTTACAACATTTGTCAACTTGTGATTCCAATTCCTTCCATTTTCGCAGAAAATTAAAGAAAAAGTACTCTTGTAAATGCACTTTTTCTGTCTTTTCTTAAGCAAAGCAGAACTATTTCAATGTAAGATAAATATGGAGCTCACTAGACAGCATTAATAAAGGCCATGTTTTAAACATAGGCTTTATATTCTATTTTTATTTAAGTGATTGTTCTTGTAAATGTCTGGACTTACATAAATAGGAAAATTAATCTCCATAAATTGTTGTAAAGACTTTTTTCAGAGCTAACTTTTACTGTTAATCTTATAGTAGCTATGAATAAAAAGCAATACTCATTCAAAAGGAAATAACATGGGTCACATTTTCTCAGGTTATCTTCCATGTTTAATATTTGCAGAATTAAAATTTAAACCGGCATGGTTCCAGGCAACGTGGAAACCCATTCTGGCAGATGGCTGCTCCTTGACACAGGGAGCTCGCTTCCTTACTTCCTCCTCCCACCTCCTGACCTTGCTCTAGTACTCACCAGACCCACCAACAGTCCCAACCACCCTCGCCGTTCTGGCAGGGCACCCAGCCTGCAGGAGAAGGTGGAGGTTCTGCCCAGCCCCTGGCAAAGCCTCTCGCGTGTTACCGAGTCCCTGGCTTTATCTTCCTGGCAAGAAGCGTCTCGGTTGGCCACGTGATTCCGTAGATGCTTAAAGTAGTTTCTTCCGCCATTTAAAAATACCCCAGGGAAAAGCAGATTAACTGTATGATACGGGACTCTCCTGTAGTAAGGGTGAAATCAACAGAAACCCTGATGGATCTTTTATTTCTAACTTTCCTATAATCCCCTTATTTCTGCTTTGTTGACGTAACTTCCAAAGTGTCTTCCAGTGCCTTGAATGAAAGTTCATGGTGTTGAGGACGCAGGAATGATGATTATACTGAACTGTGAGGGTTTGTTTTTTTTTTTTTTAAACAAGAAATTAGGTATCGTGTTTGCAAGAGCAGTCAAAACTAAAGCACTCTCTTGGCAGGTTTCACGCTGTTCTGCCTTCTAATCTTTTACAGTTTTTCTCAAAATGAGATATGTTATTTCAAGCTTAGTTAGGAGGTAAAAAAAACCATAAGATTATAGGATCACACACTGTTAGAGCTGTTAAAAAGAGCGGGGCTGTAAAAGAATTCAGACTCCCCCCACCTCCTGCAATTGATACAAAGAACTGTCAGGTTTCTGGCAGATTTATTATTTTTGTATTAGCATATATCTGGAAGTTGGAAAGAACTTGAAACATCGCTATGCAAGGATGTAAGGTAAGAAGAGGTCCATTTCCCTACTTGTTTTAGTTTTTACTTTCTCTCCATAAAGTCTACCAGATACATCTGTGCTAACAGGTTTTTATTTTCTCTCTAATGTGTAAGGTTAGCAACAACCAGTAAATCTCCACTTGTTCCTGGCTCCTCCAGCAGATTGCTGCGTTTGAGAAACCTCCTCTTGCTTCATCAGCTTGAGCAGATCAGGCAGGAGAAGCAATGATGTCGGGACAGTAACAACAAGCTATTATTTCAACAGAGGTTAAAACAAGCAGTAATTATCAGTGAAAGAAAAGCATAACAAGGGCAAATAAAAGTGTGTATCTTACTGAAACATAATGTATCTGACCTTCAAAGGGAACAGCAAAGACCTCTGAAGGACAGCAGTAGAAGAGGAAGGTGATTACATCACTGTTTGTGGTATTTTGCACAAGTTCCACTTCAATCTCATGGTTTTTACAGGTGCAATATTAGGATAATCTAGGCAGAAATCTTTTAAATGGATGCATATTCTTATTTTACATGTGGGGAGCCATAGAGTAGTGGCTACCAAAATTACTTAGGATGGCTTTGATGGGGAGCTGGAAAGAGAATGAATTTTAAGATTGTCAACTCCTGTATCTTGGTCAAATTTATCCACTCTTGATAACCTCTCCAGATAGGTTTGTCAACCAGGTGGAATTTCACATTAAAAAAAAAAAAAAAATTCTTACAAAATGCTCTTCTTTTCCACACTGAAAATATGCTTGGATATCTGCGTCAGTCAAATGGGTTTCCTGGGCAGCATTTACTGGAATTCTTTTAGAGCAGTAAGTCTAAGAAATGCTTCTGTTTTAAGAAAAGAGCACGTTTGGTTTGGTTGCTTGAAACAAATCTGACAGATGAGCTGGAAGACAGATTTATAAGCTGAAACAAAAGATGAATGTGTTAACAAAAGTATGTTGAACTGTTTATTTCACCATGCCCTTACGTTTTGCTGATACTGTGCAGTAAAATGTTGGTTATTTTTTACTTCTCTGTACTTGGTATTTTATTATTTGCTACAATGTGCAGGAGAAAGATTACCTCTGGAGATGTAAGGGACATAATAAAGCAGTGGAACCAATGGGGATGTTGCCAGAGACTGACTCGCTATAATTCCAGGGCTTAGGAAAAAGACATTTTATAATTAGCTCACACTATTTATCAAGCTATTGCCCTAAAATTTTGAGAAAACCTGTCACTCTACCATATTATCTTCAACCAAATAGGATGATTTTTTTAAAAGGTCTTTGGGAGAGTTTAAAATTACTCACCATTATTAGTTACTGCTAAGTAGCTGGTATTTATTCAGCTTTGTTTGTTTTGGAAATCAGCAAGTTCCCCAAATTCCACAAGCATTTATTAGTCTCATCCATCGCTTTGGAGGAATATATACATTCAATTTTTCATGTCACAGTGTTGCTGAATATGTGCTTGTTTTAATGCAGTTGAGTGGTGGCTTTTGTGATTGGTCACAGCCCAATGACAAATACTGCATTAGCATTTAAAGAAAACTGCAAAGATAAGGCAATCTTAATTGTGCAAGCAGACAGCTTCTCACCCTTCTTAAGAATAGGACTTTCCAGGCTTCCTCTTTGTTTTGATTTATCTCAGCACTATTTATGTTGCTATTCCTGCTCCTTCCCGTTTTCAGAGCAATCCTACTCTGTGTTTCAGAGCAGGGCTGTGCAGCTGGTTGGTTCTGCTTTAGGTCTGCAATTACCTGCTATTTATATTAGTTAGTGCCCTTATGCTGTTGTTTATCCTATACCAATAGTTTTCAATGGTGAAAAAATGTCTCTGTTTGTTTTATGACTTGGCTTTAATTCACCCGTCCAGCTCACTCATTATGAAAAAAACACAGGAACTTTGGGAAGATTACTTTCTCCAGGTTTCATTGCGTGCCAAAAAAGAAAATGGGTACTAGAGCTCCATTAGAGCTGTGAAAGTCTGCAGGTTGTTTACCAGCAGTGTGTTCGCTTAAGTCTCCCTCCCAGCCTTGCTGGTGAGGGACACGGTTCTGTGTTACTGGCGATGTCTCTCTCTTTCCCTGCTCTTTAGAGTAACCCAACATTTCCATTCCAGCCCTGTCAGTGTCTTCAGCTATTTCTAAACTACTCCTCCTCTAATCCCTCATCTGGGCATGCTTTGACCTAATTTGCCGTGATCCTGCCAGCTATGCCAGTTACGTAAAGAGGGGTAAGATGTGTAATTTGTATGAAATACTTTGTTATATTGCACAGGGGTGTTTGGTGTGGTGTGTTTTGTTTTTTTTTTTTTTTAATCTAACAAGCCACTTGTTTATGTATATGCATGGTTTAAAAACTTCTTGATGCTCATTCATTTCCTGAAAATTACTTCCCTTAGGGATGGGTAAGGCTTAAAACTATTTGAAAATCTAAAAGATTATAAAAACCCCAAACCCTTGATTCCTTCTGCGCACACTCTCCTTCCCCCCAGCCCCGTGCCGTTCCAGCACTTTCTCCGTGGAGTACTGCTGCTTACACTCAAGTCCCCGATTGCCTGCGTTGGGATGGGTTTCTTAATAACTTCTTAGACTATTTTTCCCTCTTTCCCTTTCAGGTTATGGCCCCGTCACGGCGGTAGCTCCAGTTCTGCATCTTTCTCCTGCCGAGCCCCCCGCTCCCTCCCGCCATAGCCGCGCCCTGATCTCCGCCTGCCCCCGGCCGCACCACTGCCCTTCCCTCAGACCCATCCTGACACCCTGAAGGCAATAAAAACCTCCAAACAACCCGGGCTTTTTTTTTTTTTCTTTCTTTCTTTTTTTTCCCACCCCCCCCCATCCTCCACGCACGCTGGCTGCAGGACCCTCCCTCCCCCGGCCCGGCACTGGGCGCCCACCGCGGGTCCCCCACGCGTGAAGGGGCGCGTTACCGGGGGGGCTCCCCGCCGCCCTCCCGGCCCCAGCCCGTCCCTCACGGCGAGGCGGGAGCTCGGCGGCTGAGGGGGCGGCGGCGGGCGGGAGAGCCCTCAGCCCCGGCCGCCATGGCGCTGCGGCCTGCAGGCGGGCTCCCCCCGCCGCCGAGGGGCATTCCGCGGGGCGGGATCCCCGCGTGGGGCTGGGGGGAGCCGGTGGGATCGACTTCCCACAGCTCTTCTCCTCCGCCGTCCCCGGGGGATCCGCGTCCTCCCAGAGGTCGAAGCAGCCCCTACAGCAGTAGGTAAGGTAAGGTGGTGGGTCAGGGCTTGTCTCGCTGCGGTGGAGGCTGGAAACCCTCCTCCCCGCAGCCATGACTCTAACGCGTTCCTGGCGGGTCCCTGGGGCAGCTGCACGCACGGAAATTCAACGTGGGCTTGGGCAGAAAGAGCCGGGGAGAGGGTCCCCGGTTCTATCTCCTAGTAAGGGCAGGATCCGCAAAATACAGAAATAGCCACCAACTGGATTTCTACTTTTGATTATTTGAAATTTAGATAAGTTCCTCTTCATGTTACATAAACACAGTGCTACGTCAAGTGTACTACCTTAAATATTTACACAGTAAGACCTGCTCCCTCAGCAGTCCTCTCACTTTCCCTCAGAAAAGGAACGTGAGCTACAGAATAAATAATTGTAACCAGCCCTGGTGCATTCAGACATTGTGTAAGTGTAGATCCTACACTAAGGAGTGTTAAACGTAATTCAAAAATATTCCAACATTTAGCAGAACTGTAACTTTATTTAGAGTTCTTTTAATGCTATCTTCTTGAAACACAAGGTGCAAGCATAATGCACATTTAGGTGTCATAAACCCTAACTGCTTTTACAGGCTTTAGAGGTTGGCCCAGACTCATTCAAGAAATTACAGAGCTGAGCTTAATGGACTTACCAAGATTTGAACTAGATTCCTCAAATGGTGTGTGCTGACTTCCTAACCCAGTTCATAGGAAACGCTGAAAAAGGAGCTGTTGCTTCAACTCCAGTTCTCAGAGTCAGGTATTTAAGAGTACAGCCACGAGCTACCTCTGGGCATTAGGTATTTAAGGCCCAGGTTCCTTAGAGAAGATTGCAGTCATCCTTTCCCTGCCTTCCAACACAGAGCTCGGTAGTTGAAGCTCTCAGTGGGGATTACAGAAATAAGGATTTTGCTCCTATCACGGAGAGGATTCAAGAAACCTCTATTATAATCTTGCAGATGATTGATCTGGTCACTCTGCCAGTACCGCTGATGTATGGGGCATTCTGGAACAAGGCTCTCATTTGACCCTTCCTGTTGAAATAGTTCTGGTTTTTGTGGGCTGGCTAGTAATCGAATGCTCTTCTGTCATTTTGGTGCAGACACTCATTTCAGCAGGAATGATTTGTGTACTTGTCTCTGCTGCAGTGGACATCACCTCCAAATGAGCGTTTCCTCACTAGCCCAGTCTCCTCAAGCCAGTTTTTGGCAGGCTGCACTCCTGTTGCCTTCTCTCCCCTCCCACCTCCACTCAGGCTCACTTTTTTTTCACAGCTTTCTCAGTACTCCATGCTCAGCAGTTCTCTGTTTCCCAGCTTTTGCTTCTCCTTCCATTAGAATTAGTTCCATTCCTGCACCTAACCTAATACACCTCAAGGTGATTCACCTACTCTCTGCACACCTTATCTTAAATACTATTGCCTTTCAGTTAGGATCCAGAGACTAAGCTGTATTCTCATTTTTATTCTGATTTTGGCTGTGCATTTCATTATGCCATGCAAAGGTGAAGCTATCCAAGAGCAGGGATGGAGAACGCTCCAGATTAAGCTGTGTCATGGAGGTTAGAACACACCGCTTGGAGAGACAACATGCAGCCTGCCCTGCCTTTGTAGACATTCCCAGCCTTCCCAGTGAACATCCACCCAGGCACTGTAGAAATACTGCTTCTTGCATTTGCAGTTAAATATTTTTGAGATTCAGGTGCTGGGAGATCTTGCTCCAAGGAAGAAAGGCCACCTGCAACACTTTGACAATACACGCTGATAAAAAGCACTAGAGGCACTGAAACACTTTGTTTTATGGACCATTCTCAACCCACAAATCCTGTTAACAAAAATCTTACAGGGTGCTATTTTCTGAATAATAAATAACATGATTTGAGCCAGCCATCAGGATGTGCTAACTCAGCAAGGAAGCAAAGGGACATCAGAACTCAGCAAAGCAAGTTAACCTTTTAAGAAAGCTTTTGCTGTTGCTTTCTGCACCACCTGGATGCTTTAGTTAAATGGATGCACTTTATTTCCAAGCTAAAATATATTTGTATCCTCTTCACTCAGTCACCTGGCTTGAAATATATGTGGAAAGATCACAATACTTTTTGAGTAAAATAGAGCTAGGACAAAACTGCTTATCTAAAAGAGCAAGCCAGTGACTCCATCCTTATCTGCATCATTGTGCAGTAGGATTGCAACTTACTTTCCACTCTAGTTCGCTTTGAAACAGCCCTAATTAACAGACACACTCATAAACCAACTACAGTCACTGTAAGCCCTTTGATCCTGTGGAAGTCAAGGGGTTTTGTCTGGCCAGCATCGTTTCAGAGTAGCAGCTCCCAGGCCCATGCTCATACTTCCAGTGACACTTTTCATCCTACCTATTTGTTTAGTGACCATGGGGAGAGGCAGGGGGACACAACATCTAACTAGATTTTAAGAACACATGTTTTCCCTGGATAACAGTGGGTTAAGGCAGCTTTAAAACTGGAGTAAACGGAAATTGGGGAACCTGAAAGCAAGTAATTTATTAACTCGGTTTCTCTAGCACTTGCTTAACCTTTTGTACAGTAAATCTGTCTTAACAAATATTTAAACATCTTCCTACCCCCAACACTGACACACAAGGGAAAATCACTTTTTTTTTTTTAACCCTCCCATGATTCAGCCCCAAGAAGCTTTGCCCAGAAGACATGAACGTCCTCCAGTCCTGTCACTTACGAGCAACTGTTCTATTTGCACATTAAGATATAATGGAAAATGGAATAATTTCAATCATGCATTACTTTCAAATGTTTAACAAAAAGACTGCTTTAAAGAAAGCCTTAAATTGTTACTACGGATATTATTTCTAATTTGCCGTAACTTTTGTGGCCTAATTGTAGGAAACAATCTAGGTATTATTAGCCTGTTACTCCTTCAAAAAAACAGGACATTGGAGGCTTGCTGCCTTATTTGGGCTCTTTTTTAGCCTTTACTATTTTAGAGTTAGCTCTTAGCTATCTCCAAGGTAACAAGGCATGGGCTACGCAGGAAGGAGCTGTGATATCGCCAGTACAAAACACGTGTAAATGAGACTGTAGGAATGTACTTGTTTCTTCCACCTCTGAAAGGCATATGCACAGATTTCTGTGGAGAGCTGGGGCAGCTTTCAGCAGCAGAAAAGAGAGCAGTGTCCAGTGGAAGTGGCAGGTGTACTGTGCTGTGGTCAGGGTCCAGTAATCCACAGCCTGGATAGCCAAGAGTTTGAGTAGTAAAGAAGAAAAATCAGGCAGAAGATCATTCTTTGAAACTGCCACTGGAAATAAAAAGGAACAGAGAAGGTAACAAAAAAGCATGTGGGCAGGCTTCTTGCCATTTCTGTTCCTTATTGTCACCTTTCTACCCAAGAACAGAACTTGGCAGCTGATATGAAATAGCTTTGCTTCAGTCTTCATAGCCTGAAATCTCAAAAATCAATATGGTAATCCTGATGTTCAGGTCCTCTTGTTACTGTATTTTTTTTATTTGTTTTTTTTTTTAGTTAGAACTGAAGTAAAATGTGCCTGTTAGCTATCATTCTACTGTACTAGCAATCTGACTGCAGGATTTCAGCTAGTAAGATCCTTTCAAAGCACTGGTGTTATTTCTAAACCAAAACCACAACATCAGAACAGCTAGCTTCCACAAGCTTCTCTCTGTACTCATCCAGCAGCAAAACAAGACATCGTTTCGTGCATGCTTTGTACTTTCTGTTGGCATTCACACAATTAAAGGAGAAAGCTGCCAGCAAGCTCAGCGCTTGGGGCGCATCATGCTTGCAGCAGGCAAGGCAAGGAAGCTGGGTTTGGAGGACCCCTGGGGTTCCCCGAGGGAAACAAGGAGTGCCTAGAAGTTGCCTTGTGCACAGGTGCCGCTAATGACACACTCCTGTCCCTTGGGAATGACCTGGTGAAGCAGGAGGCAAACATAACCTCGGGATAAGCTGGCAGAGCATCCCTACCTACCTGAACTCATTAGCTACAGCAGTTGTCTGCCACTTACACCACCCTTGGCTTGATGCTCTAGCCATCACCATCCAGCACTCCAGGAGAATTGGTATGATCACAAGGCCCTCTGAGGGAGGCTCAACAGAAGTTCTTCCAAATTAAAGAGAAATAACACATTCACAAATCCCCAGCTGCTGAAACAAAGTCACTAATTCTGTTATCAGCAACTTAAAGCAGCAATGAATGAGCAGAACTCTGTAGTAGCTGAGGATGAATGAGACTGCAACAAACAAAACACTGATCTCAAGCAGTGTCCTAAAAATGTATCTTTGAAAAGAACATACATACCAGTGTAGAGCTCCCATTTATTTTACTTGAATTAAACAAAAAAGTGTGATTCCCATATTACACTTTTTTTTTTTCATCTGAACCAGTCCTTGCAGAAAGGAAATAACCCTCCCACCCCATTGAAATTTAAACATACCAGTCTGTGGGCCCTGGAAAAGTTTGTGTCAATATAACTCCACGGTAGAGTGGAAAGGACCTCAGAAACAGACTCCATTGCCAGTCGACCATGACTAACTTCTTGTTTAACCCTTCATGGTTTCCACTGTCTGAACAGCAGCTAGAACTCTCTTCCGAGTTGCTGGACATACATCCCGACAGTAGAAAATCCAGAGTGTGTTCTTGCCCAGTGAACACTGGCACTGCTTGTCAAGTCTGAACAGAGTGCTCCTGTCTAACGAGGTTGGCCAAGGAGTCCTGCCTTAGCTGCCAGAGCTTCGTTCTGCTGAATATGGTACTCCTGAAACCTCATGGAGATCCTCTGTGTCATTTTTAAATACTTCTGTAGGCAGTGGTCTGAGCACGTCATCTGGAGGAAGAGAGAAACAGAAGGCTTCAAACAGTAATTAAAACACCCAAAACAAACAGGACCCAAAATACAATCATATACAGGGATAAATGATAACGTGACTACATCTCATATTCCACGTTAAGCCTCAAGATGAGAGCCTAACTGTGCAAAGCCCCTCTGTGCAGTGCAACATGTGAAGTTTTGTTTTTGAGGGATGTCTGAAGCATCTTTTCATATTTGTTCTCATATGAAAGTCTTCATGGAAAACATCTCAGATCTAGGAGATAGTACCATTTCATCACTAGGCTCCTCTTGTGAAATTAAAGTACATAAAAGCATTTTATTTTACAAATTTAACAGATTTAGTATTTATTGCATCATTTTTTAAAATTCTGTTTACAAACATATACTATTTTTGACAGCCAAATACGGTCTACTGTGTGCTAGCTCAGTTCAATCTTTTTTCAACCTTGTTCCCATTAGCTCTATCAGTCTTGTACCAGCTTGGTTAAGCTTCACAAAAGCAACCAGAGTACCCTCTGAAGTTTTATTAGTCAGCTGGACAGGGAAATAAATACCAGGGTCTATTCCACCAATGGTATTATTTTTTAAATTTAGAGGGTTTGTTTTTGATTTTTTTTTCTTTCTCTAAGTGTAGGGTAAGGGTTATGAGATAACTTCTGAGCAACAGTTCTACCAACTGGATATTCTGTATCATGGTTCTAAACCTTGTTATCACTGTTAAATTTAGATAGAAAGAAAACTGCTTTGCATGATTACCAGAAAACCAGGAATTCCTTTGATTCTGCTCAATATAAAGGGATGTGAAAAGCACAGGGGCTGAAAACAAACAAGACAAAACAACTATGCAGCTGTACACTCCACCCACAGCCCGCCCATCTCTCTCCTTGACCTGGCATCAGCTACAGCAAAACCTGTTAAGCAGGAGTTAAGTCTGACTAGGAAACAAATTCTGGAAGTACCCCAAGCCTCTGCTCCCAGAGGACGTGGTATTTGTGATATGGTGCCCTGGGAAGTCCAGACTTGCAGCACAGACTTGCTGTAGGGCAAGAGGTGAGAAGCTGTTTTTTCAAATGTAGAATCTCAAAGGAGATTCACGGAGGTATTAATTATTTAATAGGAAGTTACAACTTTGAGTAGGAACATAGGAATTTCTATTCCAGATCAGACCAGTGGTCCCATCTGCACCTGTGTCCTGTTTCCAGCAGGGAACAGAGCCAGAGGCTCTGCGAGTAACCCCGTAATGGAGAATCATGGGCAAAACTTCCCACAAGAAAGTTTCTTCTGAGCCTCTAGTGTTAGCAGATGGCTTCTGTACTGCCAGACATGGCCCCTTTGTAGATCACAGAAGTGAAAAAAAAAGGCAGATCAGAATCTAAGAATATTTTTTGTATCTAAATAATTTTAAATTTAATTCCCTCCAATGAGCAGTCTTTGGTTTTGGATCCCAGGTCTTTAATGCAAGACTATATGAACTGTTAGTTTTAAAGAAGTTCTAGAGACACTTTGGGCAGCAGAAGAAAGAAGTATAATCGTCTACTGGAAATCACATATCCCAGAGAGGTAAAGAAGTTGTGCCACAAACACTTCTGTCAGTTCTGTTAACTGACATTCCTTGTATCATTCATGCAATTCAAAATGGGTTGGTAAAAGACAGTAACAAGGCCTTACCCAGAATAATTCTGACCACCTGTAGTCAATAAAAATTCCACTAAAGCAGATGCAGAGAAGACCAGGGAAACAAGGAATCTGCTCGGGAAACTGAGACAGCTTTGTTTAGCACAACAAAACAGAAGCTGAAAGGAGACAGGATTTTTGCCCGTGCCGAGGAGTTAAACTCCAAGGAGGCAGAAAATGCTCAAAAACAATGGTTAGTTTAAAACTTTAGGTTTTTTTTTTCCCCTGCCAGCAAAGGTTATTAGACTTAACTAACAAATTCTAAAACAGTCTCTCAACAGGAGAGGAGAGGCAAAACCCATGCAATTGATCTTATCAAGAGCTTGTTCTTTTTTTGCAGGTGACTATGGGATGGAGCTCCCTGTAACGCAGAGAAGTGGATTTAACAGCCAGCGCTTTGGAGGCCTATGCTTCTATGACTCACTACAGTGCAGGGAACGTGGGCAGGTAAACAAGTACTTCAGTAGGACTCTACCTTCAAAGAGCGAGATGCACGCTGTAAGTGGGCAACTTCCATGTCCATAAAGATACCACCCATCAGAAGTTGAGGCACAAGAACCTCCACTGATAGCTCAGAGAATGAAATACACAGAATTGCAATAAGCAGCCAGTACTCAAAGGAGATCTGGAAGATTCCCTCAGTCTGTACATACTGAAAAGACAACAGTGAGAAAACCTCAAGAGGCCCTAGCCCATAGATCATCTGCTACAGACAAACACATTAACATGTTTGGCTTTGGTTGGTTGGTTTCTTTTTGTAAACAGACTCTTAGAGCTCAAAGAAGTATCTGTCATCACCTTTGGACCTATCTGGAGAAGCAAAACTACAGACAAGCTATTTATTCCACCAACTCACTTCCTTTCTCACTCGGAAGCTACATGCCAGACACCTATATTTCACTAAAGACTGCTACCTAGCTTTTTAGCTAGTTGAGAAATCAAAACTTTAAGTTGCTTCTGAAATTTGAATGCTACACAGCAATTCTACCAAAGGGTCATTAAAAGCATTTACCTACCTCTTCTGGTTTAACCTCTCTGCTAGTGAAATCCTTTATGCAATCCAGGAAGCAGTTTTCTGTGAGTTTATTGTATGTTCCAAGAAACTCCTTGAACTATAAATAAAAATTGAATGATGATTATTAAAAAAAATATACATTAGTTTTTCTTACACACAGCTGCATGGGCCATCTGGTGACACTAACATTTAAAGGACAAGTCACTAGAAATATTTACTACCAGCCAGAAGATTTCAGCACCAAATGCTGCTAGTACTCAACTCAGATACTATAGAGTGTCTGTTGATGGTCAAGTGTTTAAATTTTGGTTGCTACAGAACTGGTCTTAACTCAGATGATAACAAACTTGTCCTTCTCCATGCCCTACACATTTTAGTCTATGTGACAAAAGAATACGATCTCCAAAGCCACCACTCATGAACACAGCATCTTACCTGCTTGATCTGATCAGATTCCGATATTTGGCCAGCCATATTCTACCACCTCTGACTCACTCACCTAGTCTGGAGATAAAAGTTGAGTTTCACAAAAAAAGCATATAGATGAACTGCAACATTTTACAACAGAATGGAATTCTACATGTTCTTGAAGTGTGTTTAAGTGCAACTTTGCAAGCAAACTTTCAAACCATCCACCTGAAAGTTACCTATTTGAAATGTATTCAGTTAAAAGAACATCCAAGATAATTCCAGGTATGAAACCTTCCCAGATTCACCTGTTAACTGCTGTCCTTTAAACACTTTTTAATCATTTCAAACAGTTAAAAGTGACTTTTTTTTTTTTTTTAAAAAAAAAAGCGTGTTCTATAAAAGCTTTCAAACTCTAAGTAAAACTAGGGCAGGAGTGGCGGAAGGAGCAAGCAGTAACATTTCTTTAGCCTTCTCATTTCAATGACTTTAGATGTCACCTGTAAAAACAGTGAGGAAAAAAGACAAGTATAAAATGGCAGCCACTCTGAATAGGTGCAGCATAAACCAGCTTGCAGCAGAGAAGACGCTGCCTGGTTTTTATGTGGCTGCATTCTCACCAAAATTAATCTAGATCAAGTGATCTGGTCATTGAATATAGTGAATTAAATACAAGGAAATGTAGAAGAATGAGAATGGCCTTAAAGGAAGTGAAACAGACAAAGAAAAAGGGAAGAATGAACAGCAATGGATCCAAGAATTTAAGCATCCTCAAGGAAGACTCACATTCCTAATCCAACACAGTAAACAAGTTAAGACTTGAAAGCTTTCCTGCAGGTTTCCTAGAAGAATACTGAAAGCTAGTCTTCCTTCTCCTTTAATTTACATATTATCTAAGACCTATCACTGATGATAATGCAAGCTAATATTCCATGTTGACAAGAACAAGATTATTCCTTTTAATTCAATTGTGGAAGAAAAATTAGCACTGAAGTGTAATCACTTTGTGAAAAAAGTTCATTTAGCCCTTTAGCAAGGGCTACTTACAATTAATCTTGTGTACGCTTTGCCAAATTTTGAGTGAAACGTTCATGTTTTAGAAAGTTTGAATTATTCTGGGGAGGGAAGGGGTGGACACGAGAGGGCAAGCAAGCCTTCTGAACAAGAACAAAAAGGCATTAATAATTATTTCTACAACAGAAAGAAAACTAAGCAACTGCAAATAGCACTGTGGAGCTCTCACAAGCGTAGGTTCTCCCTACAGACCCTCCCAGCAGCAGAGTAATTAAAACATCTGCCTCAATGTTACACTGTCACTGCACTGGAAGCCAATTCAGGGATTGGAGGTAAAGAGCACATGTGATTCTTGGATTTAAGACACATACTCCCATGACCAAGAATTCCTCAGGGGCAGATAAGTCACACAGGTTACCCTTAAGGAGAACCTACAGGATATGGTTGCTCAGAAGCAGCATGGCATTACTCAGGTTAATGTAAACCTCTAACTTGTTTTAGAAGTGGATGTGGCTGTCATCTGGGACAAAGACTAGTGAAAACGGATGGCAACTCCACTCTCATTTCTCATCCTGTTAGAAGAAAAATCAGTGACAATTCTATAAAGTCAGTTTAAGTAGATTATTAAACAGTTAGAAACCACAGAGAACAGGGAAGACTTTTGTCCTCTCCCAAGCACAGAAAGCTAAAAGCTTCAACTGTCAGTGCTGCTTTCTCACAGTCAGTATTGCTTCATTATGCTTGTTTATTTATAACAAGCCCAATCTTTTGTTCTTCTGGGACTAGCTTGGCAAGATTAAAATTACAGATTTACTGAACTGCAGTTCCACAAAGCTTTTACACTTACACTTGGGAAATAGCTCCGATTTAAATCAGCACAATGGCAATATCTGATTTTAAGTGTCTGAAGCACTTGTCCCTCTACAGGTATTTTCTACTTTCCACAGAGCAGGCAGTGAAATTATATGGCTCTACTGCACCTCTTCAGCAGCTACAAATTACAGGCAGTTGCCTTAGCAGCTAAAAATGTACTACCTGAATGTTACCAGAAATGTGCATATTGGGTTTATTCTGAAAGTCTGTTAAATGTATAATTTCAAGTTTTCCTATTGTTTGTCCCCTTTCTCCTCAGTCTGTGAAACAATGGGGGGAAAAAAAAAAAAAGTGATGAAAGAGCCCATTATGGGGCTTGGCACCTTGACTAACACACCACAGAGCTTCTTACATAGCTACTCTAACAACTCCAGCATGCTTCAGGTTTAAGCCTGCACAGCCTGGATTACTTTCTGCTGGGCTAAATGGTATTTGGAAATTTGGCATTGCACTTTTAAACATGTCACACTGAAGGAAGCAGCTATCTCTGAATAAACCTCTGCAGCAAGGGCCACACGGTCTCGATGTGCTGGTTCACCAGGAAAGCAACAGCTGGGAAGTCTCCCTTCTTGAAGGGCCCTGGAGGTCTTCCAAGTATGTTTTGACATTCTTTTAAGATAAGACTCTGATCAAAATTAGCAGCTAAGGATAATTTGGGGTTTTGATTTCTCATAGTTAGGCATAACGGGTTTTTCATCCTCTTTCCAAAGATAATAGAGGCTTTAGCCTATTCAAACCGATTCTCTAGACAGGATCCATACCAGCTCCCAGCCCTGTTTTAGAATCTGGAAAATGCCTCTAATATTTCCCTCTGCTGCAGCTGCCACTCTCATTGCCCCGGAAACATTAAATCACTACAGAGTGACAGCTTTTTTTAAAAATCTAAAGATTGTTTATTAAATAGAAACAGTGATTATTATTAAGGATTCCTAACTAACCTGGGTCAGTCATCAATCTGTTTCCATGGCAGGAGGAACAGAAGCCAGAACTACAGAGGTCAGAACTCCTCCAAAACTTACTTGTGGGAATACAGCTTCCCCAGCTGTACCTACAGACCTTCAGAAGCAGAGGCCTCATGAACGTAACTTCTAAGCGTTAATAATGGGAACAGAGCTTTTGATTATTATTACTGTACTGCTGGGTAGCTGAAAAGCCTGTCTCCATTTAACAGCCTGGAGTTCTTACAGGTGAGGTATGTCCTGTAAACTAGCGAGGAAGCTGTTTTTCCACTGATGTAGTCAGCATCAGTGTCTATTACCTAATCTTCAGTCAGCTGTACCCTTCCCCATGGAAACTAAGCAAGCACCATGTTTGGGGTTTTTTCAGCTGTTTTGTTAGGAGCTATATTTTACTGGGGAGAAAGGCTATGAAGAGGAACCATAAATCCATCACACTTGTTATCCCAATTAACAATCTGAATTAGGTGTGACTACTCTATACGTAGAAGTCTGCAAATTTTTTTTTAAAGCTTTGCTTCCAATTGTACACACAGAACACCAGGCAAGCATTTCTGCATGTGCGTAAAAAGGACAAAGAAGGATAAAAATATCAAGTTAAAGAAAAGTGTCAAGATAAAACACCCACAGCTTGTAAAGAAGGGTTGTTTTTTTTTTTTTTTTTATAGCTGGAAATTACTAGGCTAGAACTTGACTGACATCAGATTTAAAAAATCTCATTGATTTAAAGAGCTCTTTTACTGAATCTAATCAAACTCCAGATACTCCCAGGGCTGTGTGCCTGAGCACCCAACCCTCCGTCCTGCGCTGGCCCAGAGAGGCAGCAGTGACAGCCCCTGTCCCGGCACAGCCCGGCTCTTCTCCGTGCCTGGAACGGGTCCAGCCACCTTCAGGCCGGTGCTTGCAATATGGTCACGCAAAGTTTCTCTTCCCACTCTGCACGCTACCATCAGCCACGTGGCGAGATGAGAAAGGGCCTGGTCAGAAGGTGAGTGGATAAGAAGATGTACTTGGTGCACAGGTTACTGTAATTCGTGATCTCATGGCTGTGGGCTAGACCCTGCTCTGAAGAAAAAAAAACCAAGGCCACTGGTAGAAAAATGCCTAAGGAGAGTTAACATAGCAAGTGTGAAATCAGACACCCTGTGAGGCTTTTTGAACAAACTGAATGCACACAACAGTGCCTGTCCTGGGAGCAAATACATTTCTTTTCTGTGAGTGGTCTCCTATTTCAGTTATGTTAGGCCTGGCTGATACTTGTGACCCAGAAAGATCCAAACCTGAGCTGGAGAAAAGACAATTTCACCTCGATTTTTTTTAACTACATCCTTCAGTTCTCGCTTTCAAGGGCACCTTGAGTTTTTTTACCTAAAGAAATACTCGCTAAGCCAAGCCCCAGCCCAACAGGCCCTGCGTCCGCCAGGCTGCGGCGGGCACACGAGCGCGCCTTTCTTTCCACCCGAGGCGAGGAAAAGACGCCCCACCACTAGGAAAATCCACACACACACAAGAAGATAGTTCCCCCCCCACCCAACCTCCACCCCTGGGCCCTTTGTCGCCGCTCCCCCCCGCCAGGCCTAGCACCGCCGCACCTCTCCCGGCTGACCCTGGCCTGCCGCCCGCGCAACCCCACGCCCCCCACGCCGTACCCACGGCCCCTGGGGCCACGCCGGGGCTGCCCACGCCCGCGGCCCCCTCAACAACAGCCGCAGCAGCAGCCGCGCGCGCGCGCACTCACTCACTCACTCACCGGCACAGCCGCGAGCCCTCTCGCGTGGGGAGGCCCCGCCGATTCGCCACGCAGCGAATCGGCGAGCGCGAACTCACCCGTGACTCTTACCCGCCCTGCCCGAAGCGCAGCGCTATTATCCGCCCCGCCCCGCCGCGCCGCGCTGCTCCGCTGGGAGCAGGCAGGGCTCGGGCGCCGGTTTCCTTCCGGACACTATTAAGAGGCGGACCGCGCGCCGCCTTGAGGGGGGCGCTGTTGCTATAGCAACGTCCGCTTCCGGTGGCTGGGCGGCGGCGGAGCTTTCTGTCCGCCTTTCTGTCCGCCTTTCTGTCCGCCTTTCTGTCCGCCTTTCTGTCCGCCCGGGCCGCGGCGGGGACTCGCTCCCCAGAGCCTTCAGGCCGCTCACCTCTGCGCGGGGGGCAGGCTGCCGCCGCAGGGATTGGCCTCTTGGCTTGCTGCGTTGGGACTGCCGGAGCTGCGCGATGAGCGATCCGCATGGAAGCTGAAACCGACTCCAGCCTCAGCCGGGACTCCCTGGCCAGCCTGACGGCGGGCGACGTGCTCATTCGCTCCACGGGTGTCCGCAGGGACACCGGAGGAAATCCCCAGCTCCTTGAAGCTGTGGCAGGAGCTGGTGGCCGTGGGAAAAAAGTGACGATCGCTGTTAAGAAGCTGCGTGAAGGGGTTTCTCCCCGCCGGGCAGCTGAGGCGGCTTTTTCTGGAGACGGAGCGCCCTGCGTGCCTCCGGCCGTGCTAGCAAGCGGGGCTCCCTGCGGGGGAGAGCCCCACGGCACCCCACGCGGCGTGGCACCAGGTGCGTGATTTACCCGTGGGCGTTCGGTTTCGGTCTGCGGTAAAATCTCTGTGTGATGTTTTCAGTCACGTAGTAATTTTATCATTAAGGAGCTGTCGTGTTCTGGTACTGCAGATACCATCGCTCTTTCAAAAGTTGTGCTCCTTTGTTTGTTTCCTTTCTCAAACGGTTTTACGGGTGAAAAGCGAGTTGTGCAGGGTGAGGTGGTCAGTCGGAGCTCTGTTAACAGAACTCCAGCCTTGGCGCTGGATTCCTAGTCCTTAACTAATAGGCAGTTATCATCTTGTATCAGAAAAATCATGTCTGTCATTGTGACATTTCACAGATACACGAGGCCAGAAGGGTTTAGTCAGCATCAGAGGATAAAACAGTGTGCACGTGCAGGGATCTAAAGGAGAAAATTAACAAGATTGATCCCTTTCCAGTCTGTCACAGTTTTTAATGCAGTTTGTGGCTCATCTTTTTAGACACCATATGTATCCCTTGAATTTTGTAATCCAAGGTATAGCCAGCAAGCAAATTTGTACTTAACAGATACTGCTCCTTTGGGCAAACAGCTCTGAGTAGTCCCAAACGTTTGGCCCTTCTTTGTGTTTTTATGGAATTTTGTGAATTATTTTGTGGTTTTATACTGGAAGAGAGATCAAAAGTATTTTAAACACGTCTCCTCTTTCCCTGCTTCTTTAAAGATGATTTTTTGTCTGGACAGCTTGAGCTAGTAGATGTTCAAGCTATAGCTGTACAAGCTTGTCTTTTTAAAGAAGTGTTTATCAGACACTTGAAAGGTAATAAATGTTAAATGTTGGAAGTAGACATTCTGAGAAAGTCATTCAGCTCTAAAATTTTTAAATTTGCAATCGTTTTTGCAGGTTTTACAGAACATACTGAGTTTCAGAGTTGGTCAGTTAAACAACTATTCAAAAAACTAAGGGAAGAAAAATTTCCCTGCTATCTAGCATAACTGTGAATTTTGCTTGTTAAAATTGTTTTACTTTCCTGGTAGTCTTGGAAAACAAACAAACCAACCAACCCCCCTAAATCACACCTGCTTGACCCAAACAACATATACTGGTCAACTGCCTGTACCAATGAAGCTCACATAGATGAGTAAACAAAATGAAAAAAATAAATTGCATCATTTTCTGTAACTTTTTAAAAAAAACTATTTGTAGAACTATTAAGTAAATAATTTTAAGTCTTTTAATGAAGTGAGACTGCAGTGATGTATCATGTACTCTTTCAAAACTGATACAATCCGTGCTACTTACCTAGTCAGGTAGAATATTAATTTTGTTTCTTTAAAATACATATCAATTACAGTCTTCAGAGTTTGGGGAAGGGATTTTAGTCTTTTTGGGGTCAAGGTTCAAACAGCTTCAAAAGATGTTATTTTTATAGTGATGGGAAGACGTATTAGTCTCTAACATAACTAAAATGTGTACTGTCCTCTGTGTTCTTCTTCTGTAAGATATGTTATCATGTAATTATAATTGTCTCTCTAGACAAGTAACTTTCTATGTTCCTAAGATCTTTAGACTTGAATTTGAGCTCAACATTGTTGATTTTTTTTTTTTTAATGCTCTGTTTTTCAGAGACTTTTTCATATGTTGTAAAGCAAGTCTATAATCCAGGCTCACAGAATTCATTAACATTCGTAAGCTTAAGCTTGATGGCTGTGGTCATTTGTGTTATCAAAGTCACTATGTTTAGATATTCAAAGATAGAGGCAGAGGAAATGTGGAGATTTGGGTTAGTCAAGGTATATTGAAAATACATAACAAATCATTATGACCACAGTAAAACTGCTTTTATTTTAGGAGTCCCGAGTACTAAAGGACATCCAGAACATATGCGTTCAGTAGAAAATTCTACAGAGCCCATGTTTTCATCACAAATGGTAAGAAAAGTTACTGTTGCTTGCTGCAATCCTGAACTAAGAGAACAGCATTTTTCTCAAAGTTGTAGCTTCTGTAAAAGCATAGCAAATCTTTGGCTCAGCTTCTGCACAGTAACTGTGCAGCTGCTTTCCTCTTGGAGTTGCTGCTAATGTGGTATCAGTGCTGAGGGGTTTAGAGGGGCTTTGTTTACTGTACTGCTACCTCTTGCATAATTAATACCAAGTCTTGTTTTTAAATTTTAGTGTAATTCTTACCTTGAGAAGGCAGTTACACATGACACAGTATTTGTTAAAAACCCTAAAACCTTTTGTAATTTTTTTTTTCTTCATATCATAGGTAATGAAATGGACGCTAGTTTATATGGAACTCTTTAATGCTTACAATTGAAAGACTTATTTCCTTTTCATTTTTTTTTGTTGTGCCTTACACAGACTGGAAACTTGTCTGTAGGGCATGCATAAGGATAAAATTAACCTATTCTGTGAGAGGGTTGCAGCAATATCTCTGCATGGCTTGAAGTAGACCCAGTGAGCT